TCCTCGGAAGGGAGATGGAGCAATCTACTTCCATAGTGATACTGCCTCAGAAACCCAAGGAGGGGTCGCTATGAGTCGGGTCCGACTTGATGGCACATAACAACAACAACAATTTATGGCATAAATAGACTGTCACAAATAACCCAAAATGCATAAACAGCTGAAGATAAACTAGATGAATGGGACCTTCTAAAAATCTAATTTTTATGTGCTTCAAAAGACTTCTCCAAAAGACTGACAAGAGAACCTACAGATTGGGAAAAAATATTCAACAATGACTTATCTGACAAGGGACTATCTCTAAAATTTACAGAGAACTCCAATACCTCAACAACAAAAAGATTAACACTGCAATTAAAAAAGTGGGCAGAAGACATAAATAGACACTTCACCAAAGAGGATATTCAGGCGGCCTGCAAATACATGAAGAAATGCTCATGATCATTAGCCATCAGAGAGATGCAAATCAAAACAATAATGAGATACCATCTCACCCCAGCACTAATGGCAGAGTTCAACGAGTTAGAATATATCAAATGCTGGCAAGGATGTGGAGACACTGGGATGCTCATACACTGCTGGTGGGACTGTCAAATGATACAACTACTGTGGAAAGCAGTATGGTGATTCCTTAAAAAGCTGGAATTAGAAATACCATTTGACCCAGCAATCCCATTATTAGTTATATATCCTAAAGAAGTGAGAGTCAGGACAAGAACAGATACACACACATCCATGTTCATCGCAGCACTATTTACAATAGGAAAAAGATGGAAACAACCTATATGCCCATCAGCAGAAGAATGGATAACTAAACTATGGTACAGACACACGATGGAATACTATGCAACACTAAAGAATGCAGAAATCTGCAAAACACTGCATAACATGAATTTGGAGGACATTACGCTGAGTGAAATAAGTCAATCACAGAAGGACAAATACAGTATTAGTTCATTATTGTAAAAAGTCAAGGAAAGGTTTATATATATGGAAAGAAATTTTCTTTGTTGGTTATCAACAAAAGGGTGGGAAGCGAGGGGAGGGAACACTGCAAAAAAAGAAAAAAAATTCACTGACCCATGTCACTTTAGTTTGTGTATTTCACTGTACATAAATATTTCAATAAATTGTATTTTTTTTTTAAATTATTATGATTTGGGCAAAAGTTTACACAGCAAGTCAGTTTTCCATTCAACAGTTCATACACATTAAGAGAGAGATCAAGAAAATTGCTTTCTCATGCTGCTGAGTCATGTGTCATGTTTTTATTGATAACAGAACACAGCACAATAAATTTTAACATTAGACTACAGGAGAACAGCAGGTATCTTTTAATATTTAATTCAATGTGCCTTGGCACAAATGGTTTATACTCAACCACTAACCTAAAGATTGGCAGTTTAAATCTGCCCAGAGGCATCATGGAAGAAAGGCCTCACAATCTGCTTCTATAAAGATTATAGCCAAGAAAATTCTAAGGTGCAGTTCTACTCTTTAATGGGTTTGGTTCACTCTGGATTTTGTTTACTGTCTAGTAGCCTGGTCTCTTTGAAGACTTAGGTATGCCTAACCCAAGCCATGGTATTTTCAATAGCCTCATATGCATGCGAAAACTGGACAATGAATAAGGAAGACTGAAGCAGAGTTGATGCTTTTGTGGTATGATGCTGTCAAAGAATACTGAAGGTATCATGGAATGACAGAAGAACAAACAAATCTGTCCTGGATGTACTGCAGCTGGAGTCCTCCTTGGAAGCAAGAACGGCCAGACTTCGTCTCGCCTACTTTGGTCATGCTCTCAGAAGGGACTATTCCCTAGAGAAGGTTATCATGCTTGGAAACATGGAGGATCAGTGAAAAAGAAGACGACTTTCAACAAGATGGATTGACACAGTGGCTATAATGATGGGTTCAGGTATGGCAAGGATTGAGGATGGTGCACAACCAGGCAGCATTTCATATTGCTGTACATAGGGTCACTGTGAGTCAGAGCCAACTCAATGGCACCTAACAACAACACAAAAGCCTGGTCTGTGTATGGCTTACATCAAAAGATTAACAGGCTATCCCCAAAATTACTAACAGTTCTCAATGTGGACTAAAGTATAAATGGACACATGAATACAATTTCAGATGATTTACCTGCGTCCTCGTACTAGCAATCTTGAGGCTTTTCCTAGTAATTCAACTGCCTGTCGTAAGCGTTCCTCATTCTGAAAGAATCAAAGGAAAGGGAATCTTCGCTACTTTAACGTAGAAATCTCTTAAAAAGAGAGTTCAGTTGTGAGCATAAAGAAGTTTTAAAAAGTAACCACATTTCTGTTTTCCTAGATATTATAAATTTTACAAACATTCTAAGTACTTGAAGAAAGAAAATAAAATTCAAACTTACTTCAAACACATTAGCTGTCTGTTGATATAACTGTACAGCCTTTTCTGGATCCACATTTTCAATAAGCCTGAATTAGATAGAAACATACGACTCTCAAAGGATTTTATTAAAACAAAAATACAATGACGTCTATTCAGAAAATATGGTTCTAACAACAGTTCCACATGCTTACTTTCCAGCTCGTTCTAATGCCATGGCTGCTGTGTCTGGGGTGCCGTTTTCCAGGTACATCATGCTAGCTTTCTCAATCAACTTAACAGCCTCCGGCAATTTCTGCATTTCCTTTTGACAAAGAACACAGCATGAGACAGAAAATATACAACTTAAGAAATACAGAATATATAATCTGAAATTCCATTATTTTATCCCTAATTCATGAAACTAAATGACTCATAAATACTTTGCTGCTGTTAGCTGCCCCAAGTCGGCCTCTGATTCATGGTAACCCCAAGTGCAACATAACAAAACACTGCCTGTGCCATCTCCATGATCAGCTGTGGACTGGACCATTATGATTCATACACAGGGTGTCCTTTTTTTTTTTTTAATTTACATTGTGATTTGGGTCAAAGTTTACAGAGCAAATTCATTTTCCATATAGCAGTTCATACATTTTCTCTCACGACATTGACTGCAATTTCCTATAGTGTAAACAGCTCTCTTCCCATTCTCCCCCGTAAGTACCTCTTCCTTTGTCCTTCCCTCCTATGCACTCTTGCCTCCCAAAATGTCTCCCTATGCATACAATGCCCTTCTATTCTCCCATGATTAACCTCTCCAAGGAGTCTATCTACCTAATATAAACGTGCACCTCATACACCTGTCTTTTACTTGGCTGGAAGCCACAGGAGTGAATTCAATTCCAGACCTGAAGGGCAGTTAGGGGTCATAGTCTCAGGGGTTCTGCCAGGTTCTGTCAGACCACAAACATGCTCCTTTTTTTTTTTTTCCTCTATTGTTTTCAATTTTGTTCTACATTGTTCTCCCACTCTATCCAGGATCTCCTACACAGATATCCCTCCAAGTGGTTGACGATGGTAGCTGGGCATCAGCTAGTTGTGGTCTCATGGTCTGGTCTCATGGTCCACCAGTCCCTTGGACTAACTGTTTCCATGTGCCTTTGGTTTTCTTCATTCTTCACTCTGGGTGAGTACATAGGGTTTTCACTGGCTGATTTGTGGCCTTTCTTCCTAGTTCATCTTACTCAGGAAAATGCTGAAACCTGTTCAGCATCACAGCAATAAGTAAGCCTCCACTAACTGATGGGTTGTAGCTGCCTATGACATGCACTGCCAAGTAAACAGAGGTCTTCCACACAGAAGGTTAGAATTCTACCACTGAAGCACCACTGCCCCCCTCCATGCTATAAAAATAAACATATTTAAAATGAAATATCTTCACATAGTCACTCTCCCAATCAAGCTTTGTTTAACCAAACCAAGTATTTATCAGTAATTTCTACACATTTCATTACTTCACAATTTCAGGAAAACTATACAAAAATAACAAACAAAAGAAAAACCACAGATAACCTTGCTCTGTACTGTTTTGTAAACATTTAAAATTCTTTAAACATTTACTGAGTTCCTGATACTGGGAACTCTGGTAGTGTAGCGCCTAAGGCATTTGACTGCTAACCAGAAGGCTGGCTGAGCAAACCCACCAGCCACTCCTGGGAAATAAGATTGGGCAATCTACTTCCGCAGTGATACCACCTCGAAAACCCAAGGACAGGTCACTTTGAGTCAGATCCAACTCGATGGCAGTGAGTTTAGTTGGTGTATACAAACCTGTTGCCATCAAGTCGATTCTAACTCATAGCAACCCTGAAGGAAAGAGTAGAACTGCCCCACAGGGTTTCCAAGGCTTCTTTACAGAAGCAGATGGCACATCTTCCTCCCGTGAAGTAGCACATGGTTTCAAACTTCTGAGCTTTCAGTTAGTAGCCAGAAGCTTAACCACTATACCACCAGGGCTCCTAATACATACAAAGCCTATGCCAAAGACTGCAAACTGGTTGCCCAAGGGCTGTATTTTATTTCCAAGTACATTTTGCTTGAACAAATAGTACTTTAAAAAGTTCATTAAAATTCTGTTTAATGGCTTCCTTGGAAAAATACCAGAAACTATGGTGGCAGCAGGCTTGCATTCCCACATGACAACAATAGTCCAGGCCTAAGCAGCAGTTGTTCTAGCCAAAGCATACCACCTCCTGGAGCTGGCGGCATTCCTCTCCATCCCCTCTGCCTCAGGAGTCCTGTCCTGCCTCATTCCTCCCAGTTACTCCTCTGCACCTAAGTTTATCTGAGTCTCAACTCTCTTCTGTGCTTTCAACAGAATAAATCCTAATATTAAACTTAGTATCTTAATATTAAACTATAGGTCTCAGCATCTTGTGGTTCTAATATCCAGTATCTACAAATCAAATATTTTTTAATCATTTAAAAGATCTTAAATGAGGCTCCATAATGATATCTTCCAAACTGCTTTCAAATACACTAATTAAATCTCTCACTGAGTTAACAAATTCATTATGACAGAAGTTGTCAAAGACTTATTACTTGGTTTCACAATCAACAAAATGGAAGTAGCAGTCAAGACATCAGATGACGTATTGCATTGGGCAAATCAGCTGCAAAAGACTTCTTTAAAGAGCTGAAGAGCAAAGATGCCTCTTTGAAGACCAAGGTGCACCTAACCCAAGCCATGGTATTTCCAATCACCTCATATGCCTGTGAAAGCTGGACAATGAATGAGGAAGACCAAAAGAGAGCTGCTGCTTTCGAGTTGTAGTATTGGTGAAGAATACTGAAAGTACCATGGACTACCAGAAGAACTAACAAATCTGTCCTGGAAGAAGTGCAGTAGGAAAGCTCCTTGGAAGTAAGAATGGCCAGACTTTGTCTCACATACTTTGGTCATGTTGTCAGAAGAGACCATTCCCTGGACAAGGACATCATGCTTGGTAAAGTGGAGGGTCAATGAAAAAGGGACAGCCCTCAACAAGATGGACTGACACAGTGGCATCAATGATGGGTTTAGGTATAGCGAGGACTGTGAGGCTGGCACAGGACTGGGCAGTGTTTCGTTCTTTTGTACACAGGGTTGTTTTGAAATGGAGCCGACTTGACAGCACCTAATGGCCTCATCCTTCCAAGATTAAAATATACAGCAATTCTTTTATTATTTAACTATGGTGACCAACAGTAAAACAGACTGAAAGATAATATATGAAATAAACGTGGCTATCATTTACTCAAAGGGAATGATATCGTTTATCATTTCCCCAAACCTCAGTGAAAACATTAAAAAATAAATAAATAAATAAATATAAATATATATATATATATATATATATATATATATATAGCAATCAAGGGTCAATGAATAGAAGCACAGTCTAAAGTACAGAAGAA